GGAGTAAACTGCCTGTAAGTCTTTCTACTCGGCCATTATGGAGTATACTGCCTGTAAGTCTTTCTACTCGGCCATTATGGAGTATACTGCCTGCAAGTCTTTCTACTTGGCCATTATGGAGTATACTGCCTGTAAGTCTTTCTACTTGGCCATTATGGAGTATACTGCCTGTAAGTCTTTCTACTTGGCCATTATGGAGTATACTGCCTGTAAGTCTTTCTACTCGGCCATTGAGTATATTGCCTGTAAGTCTTTCTACTTGGCCATTATGGAGTAAACTGCCTGTAAGTCTTTCTACTCGGCCATTATGGAGTATACTGCCTGTAAGTCTTTCTACTCGGCCATTATGGAGTATACTGCCTGTAAGTCTTTCTACTTGGCCATTATGGAGTATACTGCCTGTAAGTCTTTCTACTTGGCCATTATGGAGTATACTGCCTGTAAGTCTTTCTACTCGGCCATTATGGAGTATACTGCCTGCAAGTCTTTCTACTTGGCCATTATGGAGTATATTGCCTGTAAGTCTTTCTACTCGGCCATTATGGAATATATTGCCTGTAAGTCTTTCTACTTGGCCATTATGGAGTATACTGCCTGTAAGTCTTTCTACTTGGCCATTATGGAGTATACTGCCTGCAAGTCTTTCTACTTGGCCATTATGGAGTATACTGCCTGCAAGTCTTTCTACTTGGCCATTATGGAGTATATTGCCTGTAAGTCTTTCTACTCGGCCATTATGGAATATATTGCCTGTAAGTCTTTCTACTTGGCCATTATGGAGTATACTGCCTGTAAGTCTTTCTACTTGGCCATTATGGAGTATACTGCCTGCAAGTCTTTCTACTTGGCCATTATGGAGTATACTGCCTGTAAGTCTTTCTACTCGGCCATTATGGAGTACACTGCCTGTAAGTCTTTCTACTCGGCCATTATGGAATATATTGCCTGTAAGTCTTTCTACTTGGCCATTATGGAGTATACTGCCTGTAAGTCTTTCTACTTGGCCATTATGAAATTAATGCCTGTAAGTCTTTCTACACGGCCATTATGGAGTATACTGCCTGCAAGTCTTTGTACTCGGCCATTACGGAGTATACTGCCTGTAAGTCTTTCTACTCGGCCATTATGAAGTATACTGCCTGTAAGTCTTTCTACTCGGCCATTATGGAGTATACTGCCTGTAAGTCTTTCTACTCGGCCATTGAGTATACTGCCTGCAAGTCTTTGTACTCGGCCATTACGGAGTATATTGCCTGCAAGTCTTTCTACTCAGCCATTATGGAGTATTCTGCCTGTAAGCCTTTCTACTCGGCCATTGAGTATATTGCCTGTAAGCCTTTCTACTGGGCCATAATGGAGTATATTGCTTGTAAGTCTTTCTACTCGGCCATTATGAAGTATACTGCCTGCAAGTCTTTCTACTTGGCCATTATGGAGTATACTGCCTGTAAGCCTTTCTACTCGGCCATTGAGTATACTGCCTGTAAGTCTTTCTACTCGGCCATTATGGAGTATATTGCCTGTAAGTCTTTCTACTGGGCCATTATGAAGTATACTGCCTATAAGTCTTTCTACTCGGCCATTATGAAGTATATTGCCTGTAAGTCTTTCTACTAGGCCATTATGGAGTATATTGCCTGTAAGTCTTTCTACTCGGCCATTACAGAGTTACTGCCTGTAAGTCTTCCTACTCGGCCATTATGGAGTATATTGCCTGTAAGTCTTTCTACTGGGCCATTATGAAGTATACTGCCTATAAGTCTTTCTACTCGGCCATTATGAAGTATATTGCCTGTAAGTCTTTCTACTCGGCCATTATGGAGTATATTGCCTGTAAGTCTTTCTACTTGGCCATTATGAAGTATATTGCCTGTAAGTCTTTCTACTCGGCCATTATGAAGTATATTGCCTGTAAGTCTTTCTACTCGGCCATTATGGAGTATATTGCCTGTAAGTCTTTAAACTCGGCCATTATGAAGTATATTGCCAGTAAGTCTTTCTACTGGGCCATTATGAAGTATATTGCCTGTAAGTCTTTCTACTGGGCCATTATGAAGTATATTGCCAGTAAGTCTTTCTACTGGGCCATTATGAAGTATATTGCCTGTAAGTCTTTCTACTGGGCCATTATGAAGTATATTGCCTGTAAGTCTTTCTACTCGGCCATTATGGAGTATATTGCCTGTAAGTCTTTCTACTCGGCCATTATGAAGTATACTGCCTGCAAGTCTTTCTACTTGGCCATTATGAAGTATATTGCCTGTAAGTCTTTCTACTCGGCCATTATGGAGTATATTGCCTGTAAGTCTTTCTACTAGGCCATTATGAAGTATATTGCCTGTAAGTCTTTCTACTGGGCCATTATGAAGTATATTGCCTGTAAGTCTTTCTACTGGGCCATTATGGAGTATATTGCCTGTAAGTCTTTCTACTCGGCCATTATGAAGTATATTGCCTGCAAGTCTTTCTACTTGGCCATTATGAAGTATATTGCCTGTAAGTCTTTCTACTGGGCCATTATGGAGTATATTGCCTGTAAGTCTTTCTACTCGGCCATTATGGAGTATATTGCCTGTAAGTCTTTCTACTCGGCCATTATGGAGTATATTGCCTGTAAGTCTTTCTACTCGGCCATTATGGAGTATACTGCCTGTAAGTCTTTCTACTCGGCCATTACGGAGTATACTGCCTGTAAGTCTTTCTACTCGGCCATTATGAAGTATACTGCCTGTAAGTCTTTGTACTCGGCCATTACTGAGTATACTGTCTGTAAGTCTTTCTACTCGGCCATTATGGAGTATACTGCCTGTAAGTCTTTCTACTGGGCCATTACGGAGTATACTGCCTGTAAGTCTTTCTACTGGGCCATTATGGAGTATACTGCCTGTAAGTCTTTCTACTCGGCCATTACGGAGTGAGTCAATACGTGTGTTGCAACAGAGTAACACTATATTGATCATCAAGGCTGCCCCAGATGATTGGCCTCCACAGCAGGTAACGTGACAGTGTAGTCTCCCTTCAGGTTGTATTGATGGAACACACAATCAATGCAGCTATTTTTTCATGTACAACATGAAACGCCATTGATTTTTACCTAGGCTTCAAAGACTGAACCTATTCCTGCCCATTCTCCGCCCACTTCGAGTTTGTTGTCCTACATCTACCCATACAATATCCATAATCAATCAGCAGGTGAGGAGTCCAGCAACTTTCCAAGAAATATAAAAGGCCTTTTTTCACAAACATATCATAGCAGTATGTGAGTCTATTCTGATTACCTGTGCTTTAAAGTAGGACAAAAAGGAGGCCTGATCTTAGTGCTTTTAGCAAAAGTGGAGCAATAACCTGGATGGATTTCAACCATTGTCCCCACTGTCTTTTGTATACAGTTTCATGGCGATGAGAGATCTGTTGTCAGGCCTGAAGCAGTAAAACCAGTATTTGATAGTGCGAACAACAACCCACGTCATGAAGAACTGAACTTGCTCACTCACTCACTCTGGGGCCAGCCTGCTCCTACCTGAAAGAATCAGCACCAGGAACCTATTCTGTCCCAGAATCCACCAATCTTCACAAGCATGTCATCCCCCCATGGCATCATGGCGGTCGGGTAGCCTAGTGGTTTAGTCATTCGCTCGTCAGGCCCAAGACCCGGGTTCGATTCCCGACATGGTTACAATATGTGAAGCCCATTTCTGGCATCCCCTGCCGTGATATTGCTGGAATATTGCTAAAAGTGGCGGAAAACCCTACTCACTCACTCACAAACTCATGACAACTGTCATCAAGAAACCTCTCTTACGAATGTGTGAGTATGGTTTTACACTAATTTTAGGGATATTCCAGCAACATCATGGCAGAGGGACTCTAGAAATGGGCTTAACACACTGTAGCCATGTTGGGAATCAAACCCAGACTTTCATAGTGACTAGCAAAAGCTTAACCACTAGGCTACTCCACAGCCAAACCTCTCTTACAAAAACATGATCACTATTCAACACTTTAGAGATGTAATTTATACAGGAAGAAAGATTTATTCCAGAATAAGAAATAGATGGTAGTTTCATCTCCCTGAGAAATATACTTTTATCTCGTCAGAAGCGTAAATTGTATGAGCTCCATGGTGTCATCTTGACAACAGGGAATATAAATCACACAGTTTGAATCTGAGCCAAAAGTGTTTCCGTCTCGAAGCTCAGAAGATTTGCTTGATCTTTAGAAGAATGATATCAATCTGCCAAGTGGGTTACCATGGTAAGAGCTCCACACTTGCAGCTACACAACATACGTAAATATGGTGCCAACCATTTGGTATGAGGGGGATACAATTTGTCCTTGACTTTTCCACACATAAAATAACTTATCACTGGACATGATGGATGTTTGAAAAATACAAGCTTGTGGTGAGTAAGTAGTTGTATGGCTCCTCTTTACAGACATTTTTTGTGTGTCTTCGGCAAAATCAGGTTCTTTCTCACACAAACATCAAAGACCCTCCCCTAGAATATTAAATGGTGAGCCCTAAGTGATGTCACTTCCTGTCTGGTGCACAATCTCCTGCTGAGCAAGACAGGTGTTCATGAACATGTCAAGAGTTCAGCACACATCCCTTCTGTCTATTTGGTTAATTAATGAAAATGTTTTCCCCAAATAATGAATGAGCAGTGAATTTAATTAATAAGTTTACGTGAAAAAGATGTCTTAGTCAATTAAATGACTAATCTACCGCAATTGTTATTCAAGATGGAGGCAGTATGACAAATAAACCTTAACAAATCTTAAAATTCAAAATCAACAGTTCAAGTTATTTGTTATTACAGGTGAGATCAGCTCTATTCCCACATGAATTATGCAACTGTTCCTAAAAATTCTATACTGAGAGCCATGAAATTGTAGCTTAGAAAATCTCGGGACAAAGAACTCCTTCAGGTGTAGCCTGGCTTGTAGTTGACTCATCCGAGGAGTCTCTCTATCACATCATCTACCTGTTAATGACTTACCCACAGTGAGGTCATCAAGCTCAGGTAGAACTGGAAGAGTCCATCCAAGGGGGTTGAGGAAGGCGGTCACCTGACCCATTGTAGCCAATGGCTCAACTCGAACCACCTGACGTTCGGTATCAACATTGAGGATGTCAATGAGGTTGACTTCGATGTTGCGGAGCTTTTTCTTGTATAGGCCACGTCTGAAGCTGACATTGGACCAGCCCGGTCTGGCTGTACACATTGGGGTGTGAGCACCGTCATCACGCCACTTCCTCACCTGAAAACACAAAATATAGGCCAATAAACATGAAGTACTCATATCCCCGTCAACATGACATGACCAGATGTGTGCAAGGCAAGAAACATGGTACAGTTTTCAAGATCTGTTCTGGAAACGACCACTACCGCCATATTCAGTCAAAGTCAAGGTCATTGCTATGGAAACTAGAAAAATATTTTTTTTAAAAAGCCCAAACTATCAAAAGGCAACTGTTAACCACAAGACCTATCTATGTTCCAAGTGTGGTTAAAATATCTCTCATGATTTCTTTAGTTTCTGCTCCAGAAACGAAACGTGACGGAAGGACGGACAGACAGCACCAATTCCTATGTCCCCCTTCCATGGCGGGGGATGATAAGATAAACATAGTAACATCAAACCAGTTATTGAGATTGTGAAAAATCAATAACATTAGGGAAAAACATTTTATTGAAAATATACCTTTTAACAATCTAATTTGTTGCAGCTAAAATTCTTGTGAATAAACCCTGGCATATTCACGAAGATTGGAAAACAAGAAACTGCGCCAGCTTGGACCCTCGCAATTCACAACCCAACACAGGTATTCCAATATACTTGTAGCTTTACTTCTCAGTAATGGTCAAACAACATGTGAGGAGAAGACGACACAAGCCAAGGGAGGTAACTCTCCCACTACCTAGGCAGTCTGCCGCTAAACATAAACAACGGTCGCCAACCACACTGGCGCAACCTCCTTTTTTCTTTGTAACACATTACCTGATATGGGTTACTATTAAAGACTCATACTGTCATAAACAATACCCAAAATAACTGGTCACAATAAAACTTAAAACCTGATGTAGATATCCTTGACATCACGTGATATAAGCTGATACGACACCATAACTATAGTCTAAATGCGAAAAGGTATCCAGACACAGTTGATGGACATAGCAACATAAACATGTTAGAAATCGGTTACATAGTCATTGAGGTGTTGAGGTGGTCGCCGTGCACGGATTGACCTCCTTTGTGCACTGACTGGAGTTGAATACACGGCATCATCAGTGTCATCTGTATTCACAATGTCATTGTCACTAACATTTTCACGCAAGGAGTCCTGATTATCAAGAGGAGGATGTTCTGGTGGGTTGACTAAAATGTCTTGGTCATGGTATGGTTCATTTAGCACTGGGGGAACGATGGGAAGGGTAGGTGGTTCAGTCCTTTGGGGAACAGTATCTATCTCACCATCAGAAGACTCATCGCACACATATTGCCGAGGAAGTCCACTTGACCGTTCATGTTGACATGGAACTCTGAAGCACTCTGATTTTTTTACTCTATATGATGTGCTTCGAAGTTGGGAACCAACAAACTTCTGAATGTTGCACCATTCACCATCGTTAACAACCACAAGGTATCGATCTCGTGACCGTGATTTATTACGATCTGCATGTAGATATACCAGGTCACCAATGCTGATGTTAGGGGTGGGCAGGCTTGGGATATGGGCTTTAGACATCTCACTGTGTAGGTGATTGGTAGTTCGCCGGTGATGTTGGTCAAGGATCAATTTTCTGTCTCCAACGGGTATTTGGTGGTTGTTAAATTGATCTCTTTGTGTCCACATTTCCCTGGCGGATAACCCTCTGGATCTGATGCGAGAATTTAGTTGAGCAGTGGCTATAGCTAGGGTTATAGGTGTGACCGACCCCCCCAAAGGATCAATTTTTAACAATTCCAGCTCCAGCTCTTGAATAGCTCGCTCGGCTACGGGATTCTTGTTCTTGTTCTTTATTCGACCAATTTCAATGCAAAGACGTTGACTTCGGAGAAGGTCATCTTGAACTAAGGCCTTAAACCCTGGAGCTGGGTCAGTTCTGATGACCGCCGGGGGTCCATCTAATGGTCTCATCTCAACACTCAGGCGAATCAAAGCCTCACGTAGGGTTCCCATTTGTTCATTTTCAATGGCACATGTACAGGTGAAAGATGTGACACATTCTCTCAACACAAGTATGAGTTGTCGTTCTCTTTTTATTACATCTGCAGCAAACGCGGCTCCAATGATCTCTGGGGGATCAGTAGATGACTGAGCCACAACTGTGTGGGGAACCTGTTGAAGAGATGTACAGTGATAACATCCGCTTGAAACTTTAGTTATTGCTTGATCCATGTCCAAAGCATAGAAGTAGCGGTTCACAACGAGTTTCAACTGGTGGGCAGAAGGATGATTTAACTGGATGTGCATTGCAGTCAGTAATCCATCCAAGACTTGTCGTGGAATGACGATGCACTCTCTGATGGTAACAAGGGGCTCATTTCTTTGAATCACCAACACACCATCTTTGGCGATGGTCACAGACTGTAGATAACGTTTTATGTCTTTAACATCAGTTTGTTTCTTGGATGGGCGAGTGCCCTGTATGAGATGAGCATGTGTGCGTCTGAGATCAGAACACTCTGACTGGATGGCGAGCCATGCATTCCTGTTGGTGTATGGCAGTTTAGATTTCCCTGACATGATGTCCTGAACAGAAGTACCACGTACCGTACAGTCCTCAGTTTGACGAATGAATGAGCAAATCTGACACAGGGGCTCGTCACACTTGGATGCATTTCTACTGGCAAAATCAGATGGAATATTTGCAGAACCACTGAGATGGCGAACAGAGGCCTGGTATCTACTCACTGTCGACAAAAAGGTAGACACTCTGGGGCTTGCTGAAAACTCTCCACGACACAACTTCTCATATGCTTGAACACATGGTTTACTGTCAGTCAGGATACATGCTTGTAGGCTTGACTGTACAAGGTAAGGACTAAAGTGCTTGGTGGCAACAGCTATAGATAGTGCTTCTATTTCACACGGTAGCCATGTCATTTGACGCTGGCGCAGTTTGGCACTGAAGAAACCAGCGAGGAGAGTACTGTTGTTCCTTGTAATGTAGAGAGTAGCACCTATGCCATGGTTTTTCACTGCTCCATCTGTAACGATCCATAGCTGGTCATCCTTTCGAGGAAGAACAATGGTTTTATGTGAGGATAGTGCAGATTGAGCATTTCCAAAGGCACAGATAAGTACCTCTGACCAAACTATTCTCTCTGCTGAAGGACGTCCAGCTTGAAGAGTGTCCAATGGACCCAATAGTCCAGCACAACCTGGTATTACCCGGGCTAACACTTTGTAGGCTCCAATAAACGACCTCAAACCCTTGACCGTAGATGGACGGGTGCAACTAGAGAGGGTGGAAATTCTGTGAGGACTTGCTTGAATTGAGCCATTTTTCCAAATCCATCCTAAGATGGTCACACTAGAAGGGCCGACAGTAGTCTTGGCAGCTGAAAGCTTTAATCCATTGAATTGCAAGGCCTGTAGAACACGTCGCCAGTTGTTCAGAAGCTCGTCTACGGTATTACCTCCACAATATAAGTCATCTGCCAACTTGGCCACTGATCCTTCCTTGAGCAAGTGCCCAAGCACACGACACATCAATTCTTCTAACGCAGTTTCAGAGCCCGGCATGCCCATGGCTGATCGGGCATAAACACGGACTCCACGGAAGGGAGTGGCCACACCACAATATTTCATTGATCCACGTGACAGGGGTATTTGGTAAAAAGCATTTGTCAAATCTGTGGTTATGATGTACTTCCATGCAGCTATCTGGCGTAATGTAGAATCAACATCAGGCATGAGTGATGGTTGTGGTTTACTATACCGCCCCACATCTGTGAATGCTGTAACCAGACGAAATCCACCATTTGACTTCTTGACAAGGAAGGATGGATTTAAATATTCCACTGATATCCCCACATCTTCAGGCTTGACGAAGACACCAATGTCCTCAAGCTCATCGAATTTGTCTTGCAACTCTACAAGTTTGTCACGTGAGTATTGTGGGACTCGTCCCTTGCGTTGAGGGGGTTGGACAGGACCCATGTTGACAACTGCCTTGAACGGGCCAGATTTTCCATTATATCCATGGACTTGTGGATTAAACACATCATCGTACTCCTTTATGAGGGCGTGGAAACTGTTGCGAGTGTCTGGTGTGAACTGGTTATCTGGATCAATGCGTACCTGTTCTGAACAATTGACCTTGCATGTAGTAGTGGACTGTCTGAGAGGAATGCTTTCTGATTGACTATCGACCATCTCGGTCCCAGAGTTTGGGATGGTGAATACTTGTTGAACCTGGCAAAAGTGCTCATGCTTCTTGAGGACAAGAGGCTCTTTGGTGTCATTAGGAATTCTAATCTTCCCTGAAACGCTGGACACTATATCTGGTGTTGGCCATTCTTTGTGGTCTTTGAAGAAATCACCTGTTAGACGTGGTTCCACTGCGAATGTGTCATCTGAGTGGATCAGGTCATCCGGGAGTGATAACTCTATGAAATCGCCAGGCCAGATTGTTGTAGGGGACTTAGGCGCTCGTAAGACATGTGCACGTCTTACTGTATGGTGTGACGAGTGGGTTTCTTGGTTGCCGTACTGGAAGGTGGTTCCATCTCCAAGTGTAATTTGGCGCTTAGCTGGGCGAACGGCAACATCATTTATTTCCATGAACGGTGTTCCTGCAAGCAACTCGACATCAAGGTTCTCCACAACAAGGCCCTCGAAAATAAAATCCTTATTGTCACGGCTGAGAGTTACTCGTGTTTCACCAACAATATGGAGTGGGGAAGAACCATCAGCCTGATGGGCAGATTGTGAACTTTTGGTGACTTCAATGCCGAGTCTCCTGGCAGTAGTCTGACTGATCATATTACCTGTAGCTCCACTGTCGAGGGTAAGACATATGACATTATGACCATAAAATGCGTTCATATATGGAGACTGACGTACACTGACTCTATTGACTGAAGCATTGTTTACACTTGAGGCAGTAACGGGAGGTGTAGATACTGTGTCTGTATGAGGGGACTGTCCATCTTCATCCTCTGACTCATCCAGGATGCTAGCTATTTGACGTGCCTTAGCCATGTATTTTCTGTCTTGATCAGGTAAGTATGAACATTCACTGAGAAAG